TTATTTAACTCTTATTTCGGTAAAAGTTAGGTTTAGGGGATACCGCTCCGATAATCTTAACGTTGACAAATGTTGTTAAGGACACTCTTCTGAGTAAAATGTTTTAGCTACGCTCGTTTTTATATGAAAAAGTTATTAACAAACAAAGGTTTAGTATTGTACTTTAGTAGTATGGACAAGTAAAATAATCGATGACCTTGACCTTGACATATGTCGTCAACGTCACCGTCCTGAGTGACTGTCCGAAAGGTTGAAACATCAACATTCATAAGTCTCGACACGGGCTTTTAGGCTAACAATGTTAGCACGATTAACAGTGTTTGGAACGGTGTTAAAGTTTGGCTCATATGGGTGGTTCGTTTCGACTATCGGTTGCATAGTTCTAAAGGTACTCATAGACGATGCGATTTGTCGTACAAGTTGCACAGGGAATTAAACAGACGATTAGGACGACAGATTTTTAGCACAACCGTTGCAACTGTCTCTGAGCAGGTTGAAGCGAACTAGGTTGTATGATCAGTTGTACGACAAATCGTAGCGTCTATGGAACGTTTATTAATGCACGTGTAAAATTTTGGGTGTATGGTGGCGCGTGTTAAGAATACGTGATGCGCGTGTGTCGTTTTTGAGAGTGACGTGAATGAAAAACGACAGTGTAAAACGGATAACGACGTAAAAACAGTGATCACACCTGATCTGTGAGGTATGATCACCGTGTTATTATGTTTTATTTTATTTTTTTTAATAAACTACAATGTTATTGTTAAACATCTTTTATTTATTGCTAACCCTTATCCCCCACACAATATTAAAAGAATTACCGAATACAAGATTCGTAGTGAGTAATAGAAAAATATATAGTATAAAGTATATTTATAGTAAAAATATAAGCAGAAATTAATTTTGTTAAAGAAAATGTTACCACGCTTTATAGAAACAGCATTTTACTGTATCAATCGTATGAAATAATCATTGTAGTAACATTTTGTTACGCGTTGTTTTTCAATATATCTCAATTAAACATTTTTGTAGCTACCCTGATAACTAATTTGTGTACAAGTTTCGAGCAAATTGCCAGCAATAAATGACAAAGGTTGTCTAAAAAACCATAGCCATCTGTTTCCGCATTTGACTTGGGTTTTACAGGCAACGCCAGCTGACAAAATGGTAAAGCAAATTGACAGAAAATGTTCATGATCTATGTCAAATTGAGGGCAAAACCGGAATAAGATTGGCGCAATCCCATTTGATGCATAGATTGCTGCCAATTTGCGTGCAAGTTGCTTATAAAAAATTATGCATCGAACCTGTAGCCATAACTTTATAACAGGCATTAGACAAAATTTAGCTTCGCAGGTTTGGCTAATTGGGTATGCCTGTCCAAATTATGTTAACGCATGATTTTATGACATATCCACAGTTTCGAATTATCGTCTTATTGTAGGAACAGTTTTAGCAAGATCTACTCAAACATTTAAAATTATATTCACGTTATGAGAACAAACAAATTAGTTCTAGGCCAGTATATTAAGAAAAAAGAAATTACTTTGGACGGACTTAGTCGTATGATTCGTATGAACAGTCATATTACACATGCTTAATTAAGTCCATATTTATCAACTCAATACATTTTTTACTATATAGTGTGTTTCTAAAATTATGAATGTATTCTAGACATCAGAGTCATAAAGATATATCGTATAAACATACGTAGGTCCACAAATGCTTGATTTCCAAGGCACATTTTTTTCACAAAGTTTCTTATTATATAACATAAAGTTTTGAAAATGAGTTCTTTGAGCAAAACTACACGCTTCGTTACTTCCAATACAGCAGGACCACCTTAACCGTAGGGGAGTGGTTCCAAGGCCTTCCACGGATACTAAAATCCGTGGGTAGTAGCAAACCCTATTAAGTATACATATAAATATGGACATAGACGTGCAAACTCGGTTTCCGCAGGGAACAATTTATTAGTAAGATTACAAAATCAAATGAATTTTAATTCAAAAATTCAATTTCTGGGTACTGGTACTGTAAGAATTGTAGAATTTCACTTTTTCCTGTAGCGGAAGTCGACTTTGCACAACAGTGTACATCCATACAGACATACTGATATGTTGTATGCGTGTTCAATATTCCTATAATATTTGATTTGATTTTTATGCAGAATTATTAGAGATACATTACATACTTGAACGCAATCTTTTCGGACCGCAGTCAAAAGCGCATAAGTGAAACCGCGGATACGAGGGTCTTAGTGTAGTTTAGTGTTGTTAAAATGAGCCTCGAGTCTTGAGCTTTAACAGCTCGAGTCGCGGTTCAAACCCTAAAGCCTCGAACCCTCAAGGTTCGAAGCTTGAGTCTTTAACGCTCGAGTCGTATAAATTGTATGTAGTGAAGTAATGTACAGACCTTGAATTTTCGAAGCCTTAAAACTTAACCTAAAAATTTTCAGTTTTTAACTCTAATATTACACGAATCTCAAGCTTTTAAAGATTCAAGGGGGAATAATCCAATAATCCAAAAACGTCCAGAAAAGCGTGATTTTTATAAATTAGTTCTGCAACACCCAAACCTCATTAAACTATTATTAATAGGGTGATCAAATATATATTTTGGACAATACGTTAAATTTTCTTTTATTACAAAATACCTATGTATACTTGAGCAAGATATACGAGTCATAGGATGTTACGCGTCGAACAAAATAATTTCTCAATTTGTTCACGGTTCATTGATCAAAGTTGGGACATTTTTTTCGTTATTCACGTGATATTCGACTTAATATTCTGGTAGAATATTTTCGAAAAATTATACTTTGAAAGTATATATATAAAAAACTTAATTTTTGCCAATCGTCACTGTGTTATTCCACATTAAGTCTGAAGCTTTAAGGTTCAACCCTCTAGAACCCTTAAGTGTTAAATAATGGAATTTACACTAAATCTATAATATTATACTTTATACAGTTTTTAAAAAATACAGCGATGACTGCAAACACATGAGAGATTGATACCAAGAAAGGGAAATGAAAAATGAAACAAAATAACCATTGAATAGTAGACGAAATGAAACATTGCTAAAAATTTGTCTGTAATGTTCAAAATATAGTATTATCTGATCGACTGGAAACATACTCTTACGCCGTGGGAGTCATAGATGACCGGCAGCAAGATTAATGTACTACGCATGATAAGTTTGCACAATACATATAATCATATTGTGTAATATATTATTATATGATTCTAATGGGCAATCACTCTTTGGCCCTGAAGACAAAACCAGCAGAAACACGCTAAGCAGTGAACGTGTTAAACATAAAAGCCTCGAGCTTCGAGGCTCGAGCCTCGACTACTCAAAGCCTTGAAACTCGAGCCTGGAGCCTCGACGACTCGAGCCTTGAGCCTCGAGCTTCATATGATTGTAGCCTTAAAGACTCAGTCTTTAAGGCTAAGCTTTGTAGCTTCAAAGACTCGAGCTTTATACAACACTAGTGTAGTTTGACCACCCTTTCGTTATTTCCATCGTGTAAAGACACTTTAGTTTTGCATATACTTAATTCAAACAGAAATAAAACAACAATTTTCGAATGGAATCATTGTAGAAAAATGTGAACAAGATTAGACGTTTTAAATTATGTACTTTTACCCTCGGTTGCATACATACCTATACCACAGACGAGATATAAGAATAGACTTAACATGCAATGTAATTTTCTGTCCCATGCTTCGGGGGTGTCAGAGGTCCCCGTACCATTTCAGTATTCCATTCCTTGCTAGCGAAATCGGGGCAATAATGTACCTATGTATCGCTATATGCATGTGTGTGTGTCATCACGGTGTCGAACGTAGTTTCTGAAGTCAAAAACTTTTATTGTGGAGTACGCTCGAACCAACGTGATTTTCATGGGACACCAAGTCCCATAAGATGTTAGATCTATTCTTATATCTGGTCTGTGCTTACACACTGCAGCGTGACACGCTTGTGGATTCACACTCCGCAGAAATTTAACTGTTTTTTATTCTTTTGTTTTCCATTCATTTTTATCGTTTATATTTTAATAACAAATGTATATTTTCATGTAATATTTTCTTACGCATGTATTGTAAAACGAAATTTACTTTTAAGAACAATTTTAAGCAATCTTACATCTTACTACTTCTATTGGTCTTTATATTATATCTTACTTAACAATTCCTGTACTTGCTCATTTTAGTAATAATAAATGAACAATTAGTTCTTATAATCTATGTATATAAATGTAAACTTCAGCCATCGTAACCTGATTCAACATTATTGATAGTTGCCTCTCAGTCACGTTAGCGGAATAAGAGTAGAATTGAGCAGAATTTTATTCGAATAATACACAGTGAAAAGCAGTTTGTTTGTCAAGGGTCTACTCATTAAAGAAGAAGCATTATATTATTATAAAAATCGGAATTTTTACGTTTAATCGATTAAAAATAGCGAAGTATTTTTGATCTTTTATTCGTTAATCGAAACTCTTTATCTAGATAACGAATTTGCCCATCTCTGAATGAGAGTCCACGTATCAATACAGCATTTGCTCGATAAACGGTAGGCCAGGTTTATTCCATACGAGTTAATGGTCCATCCCCACCACTGGGGAGTCCCCCTTCGAACTATGTAGTCAAGCATGTACTTAACGTAACACGTGAGTGGTTCCCTTTTAAGAGCTAACCTGGAAGCCGACAGAAGATTAAAAGCTTACGTCTCGCTGAAACCTTTTTATTTTTTGTTCTTTGTGATATTTGACTGATTAAAGTGAGATCAAACATGATATAATTTGGTTAATTTCTAACATACCAGATGCGATAACTCACATTCTTACATTATTACTTCTGATAAATTAGAAATTATCTAAATTATATCGTGTTTGGTATCGTTTTAATCAGAAAAATCTGACCAATCGGTTAAGAAGATATTTGTTAACACAGAATCAAAAATAAAAAAGTTTCATCGTTACATTAGCGTTGTCTCACCGATACGCGGGCATTTAAACTTATGTCGGCTGCTTCGACGCTGGGTCTCTCTTGTTACCATCCTTGGTAATTGTTGGTAATTCTATACCCAAATAGCACACAGCGCCTTGAAGACGGCATAAAGGCGCCTTAGACCTAAAATAGTCGTAAAATAGGCGTCGTCAAGGCGTCATGTGCTATCTGGGTATTATCCTAATCTACTTAAAAACATTCATGTATAGTATTACGAGTTTTTGCATAAGTAATACTTGAAAGTAGGCGTCAATTCTTTCACTAGTCTGTTCAAATTCGCAGACAGAACCATTACAAAGCTGTGTATTATTTTCTGAGATTGCTCATCATTTACAGAATAAGATCCGATTGAAAAAATTTTTTTCAAATTTTCCTTTACATAATACCAAATGAAATAAACTGCTTCAAGTAAACAGTCACTGACAGATTCAACTTGTTCTGTTAACATGGTAGCTCCTTCAAATATTAAGGAAAGCATATTTGTAGCATTTTGTAAAAATTTCATGTCCATAAAAATGTCATTAAATTCATCAATATCTGGAGCAATTGCATTTCTGTTACCATTGTTTGAGTAGAAATTTGTTAACTTTATCAATGTCAAATCTCTTAAAACAAAGAACAAATTAAAATCATTTTCTTCAGATTCTGATATTTCCAAGTTTTTATAAGCTGTCATTTTACGTCGGGGTTTTTTCAGTGATGTTAATACAAAATCCATAGGATCTAACAATGGTTTATTATCAACACGTGTCTTTCCATTTTCAAATGTCATAACCATAGGTATGACAATATTACCACGTTTGTGTATGTGCTGTACATCTGCCTTTTTAGTCAAATACTGCAGTCTTTCAGGAATATCCTGCTCTGTCTCTATATTATTCGCAGCAGCATTACGTTTTGCTTCAGCTTTATTACGCTTTACACGAGCGTTATTTCTTTGATGAGCTCTTTTTTTTGCGGCGGGGGTACGGTTTGCTCTTTTTTTGAGATTTTTGGCACGTACTTTAGCTCGCTGTTCATCTAAAATTGTACCTTTTGTAGACTTAATGAGTTCTGTGGCTAACTGTAGATTGATAACAGCGTTAGCAAAAAACAAAATATGAGCTGTTAAGACACATGCATCGTAAGAACTAACTCCTTCTCCGTTTTGGTACTTTTCATACATACAATATGCCATATGTGCTATGCCAATGCCATTAATGCCTACATTACTCAAAATTACCGAATTCAATGCTACCTGTGCAGTCCGACTTACATGACCGCCATTTCGAACCGTTCTTGAAAGGAGAGCAGTTCCTCCATGTGCTGCTACACCAGCTACACTACCAGTTATAGCTAACCATGAACAGAATGCATTTCTGTCATGTGTAGGATTAATGCTTTCCTTATGATTCCTTCGATCTACCAAATGTTGAACAGATCGACCAAATGACCATGCAGCACTACTTCCTCCAGCAATTGTTGTTGCTCCTGCAATAATAACAAAATCTACTTGTAAAATCTCATTTTTGAAATTTCTTATTACTTATTCTTGTTATAAATAATGTTTATATTTTTTATGTAGTATCACTTGTTACTACTTTCAAAAAAGAAAATATACTGTGAAACAAGAAGAAACAAGACTATATCAACTCTTTTTACATACGAAAATATTAAACAAAAAGAATAATTGGTCATTCGTGAGAAGCAATACAGCTGCTTACAAACGCCAACTGATAGACATGGGCGTAGCCAGATTATCAGCCGAGGGGGGGGGGGGGGAAACCATGGCTACGGCCATGCCGATAGAACGTTGTTGTCACAACGGCGATTTCCGACCACACTCATCTGATGGCATGTATTTAGTGATATTCATTCGTAAAGGATTAATATTACTCATAATATGTGTGTTTGATTTACCTAATATTATAGGTCCAATGGGTGTTAACATAGATGCAACGCCGACTCCAACTCCAGCTATCCCTATTACAGCTGAGGCAACATCTGTCGCCTGAAAAACTTTTGCAACAGTGCTACATGCAGGGGAATCAACAATTTCTAGCCATACTTGTGAATATTCTTCAGAAATTTCATATTCTTCATCAGGTTGATAGAAACCATCTTTTGGAAGAACCATTGTACATTTTGGTAAGGTATTATATTGTTTGTAATCTGTCCAACTTTTATATACTCTGCCGAACATATCAATGAACCATGTTTCATAAAAATCCAACTCTTTCTGACATACATTTTCTCTCTTTGTTACATTTTTAAACCTTTTTATTTTAAAAACAGGTGTCTGTCGCACACATATTTCTTCTTTCTTTTGGAGTGAACTACATTTGACACGAAATGTTACATTAAAGATAATTCCATAATAGATGGAATCGTCATCCACACGTCCATTTCCAAATTCATATACTTTGCTGTATATTTCATCTATGACTTTCTGTGCTTCTTGTGTATAGCTTAATGCATCAGTAACATTACAATTACTGTTATCTTTGCTTTCAATGTACAGTACATTACCTGTTTCCTTAACTCCATCAGAATTTTTACATTCTGTTGGAGGACCAAAGCATGCATATCCAATATTCTGCTTCAAGTACTTATATTCATCTTTATTATACTTTGTCCAATCTGATAGAAGTTCATAATTTTCTTGCTGTTGTACTTTAACAATCGACAACATATCATCCTAAACACAAAATAATAATGTTTCTTACTCTTTCCTTAGATACTACTATAAAACTGTGAATAACATTAAAAGAAGATACTAATAAATTAAAAAATAAATTAAAAAATTAATTCCTAAACCTCTCTAGTAAATATTAATTTAATACTGTAATCGATATTTACCCAATTAGTATCCTTAGTAGCCATCTCGATTAAATAAATGATAAATTCAGACCCAAGTATAAAGTATTTTGAAATCTGAAAAAAGCATCTAGTTAAGTATAACTTCTTTACTAATAAATATGTGATAAAAATTAATTATTTCTATATTATTATTAACTCTTTGTACTTTGTTATTCAAAGTAGGCTATAACACAGTTTATTCAAGATATCTTTCATTATGCATATAAATTCTGGTGGATAAACACCAGTTACAATGAAGCCACTTGAATTTGTTTCATTATAAAGTAAATGTTTCTATTATTGCCGAACATCGTAAGTTTTTATATCTATTTTGTACTTCTTCAAATAATTAACGAAGCAAGTCTATGTATAATTAAAAAACTTAAGAATATTGCTTACATTTCACTCTTACTATTATAAAAAGTATAACGTACAATTATTTATTGTAGAAAATAAATAAAACTATATTCGACAAAATAATGGTATACAGTAGAATCTCGTTTATTGCAGCATAGGTACGCCTCTCCCTCACACGTATGTACAGGGTGATCCTCTCACTGCGCAAAATCAAAGGCCTTGGCGCTCGAAAGAACCGCCATTCGGTGCGTCACGTGGGCCCCACCCTACATGTAACTACGTTAACAAGTGATTGAATGATCGGTGGGGAAAGCGCGCGGGTGATTGGCCCCCGTTTATTGTATGATTCCTAGAATTTTTGTTAGCTACACTCTACAGTCCTGAAATATGTAATAAACGAATGTCTACTGTATCGCGATAAACGTATGCGATATGCGTCTGACAATAAGATTAATGTGACACTGTATCCAACTAATCTTGTAACAAGGTGTCGATCCTTTGTTTCAACCATTGGTATTGACCAGCGAGAGTGTGTAGGTGGATTTGAGTCGATGCAGTGGATTTAAGTACGTATGCATATACACATAGCATATATGTATGTATAGACGGAGCATAAGCTAACACTTTCAACGAGGGGACCGTAGGTTTGGAGGAGAAAAGGCAGCGGTCGTTAGAGGTACGTCGGTTAGCTTTGGATGCATTCGGCTCGTTATTAATGGATGTTTTTACATATAACAGAATAGAAAATCTTACTGACACAAAGATTTTCTTTCAATTAAAACAACATATAAATGATCAATGTTTCTTTACCACTCATATACATAATTTATTACGCATTATCATAGAAATATGCTGAGATAACATCGATTAACGCACGAGATACAAAATGTTAATATAAGTGATATATAACAATTATTATATGAGTATATAACCATTATTGCAAATACCTACAATAAGTAGGATTGTATTTAAAAAAAAAAAGCTTTATACTGTTTATTAATTTTGTTAAATACACATATCTATACAAACTACATGACTTACGGAATTTTTAACGTATGTATCTATTCTTTTCAACTATCTCTCATAGCATACATGTATGTAGCATGATTGTATACCCGAATAGCACCGAAAAGGAATGAAGTTACCAGATTTACCACTACCCACCCCCTTTCCGCGAATCTTATTCCCCGCTCACGTAATGGCTGCGTTCAGAAGACATAACCGTTACGCAACTGTTAAGTGATTTCGCTAAATTTGCTACCACTCACCCAATAGGGTGTAGCGTTCAGAGTCAATCTAGTGAAATCACTCAACGGTTGTGTCTCCTGAACGCAGCCATCGCTCCGTCTATATATGCCTATGCATAAATATATATGTATGTATATACATAAGAGAACGGAGTACCCATCTTGCCCTGTTTAGACACGGGTCTAAGTCTAAACTGATCCAGTCACGGTTGCCACCGATCGGCTGCAATGAGCGATGATCGTCGGAAGATTAAAAGTTAAAACACATTTGGTAATAGCTCACAAGTGGACTACACGATGTATAACACAGCCATTTTGACCAAACTTTCGGAAAAGGTAGCGGACAGGTAGAATATAAATCGTGTAGAGCTGTAATATATAGTCAAGAGTTTACAAAATATTTAACATTAAAGATTGCATTTTGTCCGCTATTTTAAATTCTTGTTGTTTACTTGTTTTACGTGAAACATTTCTGGTCATAAACAATATTACAAATAAATTAGTAATTAACTTCACAAGCGTATTATTAAAAATAGGCAATTAATATTAATTATATAATTACAATGTATTGAAGAATGTTCTAAATGGAACAAGCTAAACGTACAACATGCATTTATGTGTTTATATACATATATATACATATGTACAAAACTTTTTAATACTTCTAACTAAATAGCTATTTCGTCACTTACGTTGCAACCATATAATCACGAAGAATTAACAAAAATGTCTTTAAAATGAGTATTTTAATGATATACATACCTTGCAGGTCAACAATGGAAAAAGGAATCTGCCGTTCAACTTGTAAGTACTGCAGTTGAGGTACAAATGCACAGAACACACTGGACACAGTTCTACAGGTTCTCAGCTCAACATGTATATACTATAACTGGAAATACCCTGGAATACCCCATCCGTATTCTACAAGTAGTGACAACTGGTACTGTGTGGTACTGTACTGTATTGTACCAACCGCAATGCCAAAGATATCGCCTCCAAACCATGAACTTAGCGAAATTTTATAAAGATCTAGGGGTTTTGTTCGCACCTATGTGAAGTCAGCCGGACAACGATGACCTTTTAACTTGTCATTTGTTGCGTATTCGCAACTGGTAATATTTAGAATCAAGCGCCATCTGTTCAGAATTTTAGGAATAAGTACATGTAACTACACTGTCATCTTTAGGCGCGGCAAATATGAACAGTACAAGCATAACTGAGGCAATGAATCAGGGTATTAGATAACTAATTATGATTAAATGTCAAAATGATAACATTGATGACTAGAAATTACTCGTATTTGATATTTACTTTTGGTTGTCACGAGGAAACATTGCCAAGGTATTAAAAACGCTCGTTCCCCGTAATGATTAGACCCAATAGGATTAAAGTAAAATTATTTATTAATTCCTAATTGGATGTTAAATAATTGTATTTTGTTAAAAGCTGAAGGTACACGTTCTTTTTGCTCAACGAGGATTTTATTGCCATTTTGACTGCTTCTTAATCGAGTACTCAAACTGTTCGGACGTACTTTTCTAAATAGCAGAAAAGCACAAATAACTTTAATTTATTGTTAATTCAAGTTTATTGTTCATTTTATAATTTTGTTAACAAGTTCAAATACAAGTTCCTGAGTTTTATTTCATTTATCGAGTATTTATTGAAGTTACCTCGAGAAGAGCGTATCAGCGCTCCACGGGGACCCGAACCCTGCCTAAATTCTCAATTACAAAATCTACGCACGAACAATTACTTTCTGGCAATTGGTAAATTTTTACATATGAATTTACTTACACGTTATTTATATACAAATATTTTATTTATTGCGAGTAATTAAATAACGAACGTATGTTAATATTCAGCTACGTGTCTCTCAAATTGAGTGAAATACAGAAGTTTTATTTTCTTGAAAATTAGTGTCAAAGAATGCAGCAACTGGTCAGATTAGTTTCGTAAATAAATCGAAACCGTGTATCGGCACACTGTTTTTTAGGCTATCAAATATCACACGGAATCTTTTAGGTACCCAGATATACTTTCAGGTACCCAGTTTAGGGCTATGAAATTATGTAGAATGTTCAAGAAGAGGTAAAGAAATTTCATATTTGCAATTATTTTGTGATACTGTAATAGAAATCGTTATCCTGTGAGAAAAATCGTATTTAACGATATGAAATGAATAGTAAATAACGATATTAGGGATTTATACTGGAGAGCTAAATCTCTTTACAAGGAACATGTCGCTTAAACAAATTAGTTAAAAATGATATTCATTTGGGGAATATGAACATCATAAATAAACGAGAGCGGTAGAGCGAGCCGCGGTATCGGTGCTCTCCGTCGGTCCAACGCGCTAGTGACGTTGCGTCACACAGTTTATTGTCCTAGCCGTGTACGCCGTGTACCATGGCCGTACCTGGCCGTACCATCCGGTGTTTGGGTCGTTCAAGGAGGCAAAAACAATTCAACTCGAACAAACGTAACAAAGAAACTAGCTGTTGCGTAATAACCTACGTACGCCCAATACATAACGGCGTTAGTTTCCTCACTTTCTCGTCAGCCGTCGCGGAGGGTGGGCGCGCATCTCATACTCGTCCTTTAGTTCTAAAGATAAGTCTTGTTACTAACCCATTGTGTGTTGCAGGCATTCGACAACCACCGTATAAAGGAACCTGTTATTTACTGTGCATATTATTAATTTATTTACTGTGCATATTATTAATTTATTTACTGTGCATATTATTAATCTATTTACTGTGCATATTGTTGTGTCCCTTCTCTTGTTACGAATCCCTTGTATGTTACAGATGTTCGAGAACCATTGGCTTTGATATTTATTTTCTTATGTACTGTGATTTATTTATTGTGATTTATTTACTGTTATTTCTAAGTGTGATTTCTGTACTGTGATTTATTTACTGTGCATATTATTAATCTATTTACTGTGCATATTGTTGTGTCCCCTCTCTTGTTACTAATCCCTTGTATGTTACAGATGTTCGAGAACCATTGGCTTCGATATTTATCTTCTTATGTACTGTGATTCATTTA